CTAGGTACAGGATGCTGATGTTTGCTTGCATTCTGTTGCTCAGCTCAGAGCAGCACCTTGAAAGGAAGAACCGTCCAAGTTGATAATTCTGTATGTTAACGACTGCATGTACTTCCCGTTAGCCAGAATTGTTTGTTTTTAGTTGGCAAAAGAGAAATTCTGCAGTGACCTGGATAAGATGATGTCACCTTGTGCTGCTTCCATTTTACCTTCCAAGACTGGGATTCAGGATGCAAGCATCCTCCTTCACAAGGTTCACAAGGTCTCCTCTGCTCCTCCGTGCCCATAGCTCCCTAGAACCCCCAGAACAGCTTGCCATAAAACCTTTCCATCAAAAACTATGAAGTACCTACTCCCAAAAAAACTGCTTTATTTTTAGGGGATATTGAGTTTTGTAATTTATTTCAGCTCCTAGTGAATCCCCAATCCCTAGGCATATGGCTATTTCTTCCCAATTGACTAAGAAACCAGAGAAAACAGTCGTTATTTTGAGGGCTTCATTTGAGATATGTTTCTCTTAGCAATCTTTGATATTGTGCCATAAAGAGCATAGTTGCATTATTGCATCCCACCCAGTCTATAAAATTCAGAATTTATTGAGACACCATTGAGTAAAGACTCTAGAGCCATCCTGAGTTTGAATTTCAGAGATGAGACAGCTTTTGCTATCTGAAAAGCATTCATTTAAAAGCTAGGCACCATGCCGGGCCTTCTGGAGAGAGGGGAATGAAGTGTATCATGGACATGTTAATGCACTGACTAGTAACAAACTGGGCTGAGGGGTGGTTGAGAGCAGCCCGGCTGGGTCCTAGCTCAGGCCTGCCTGTCTAGAGCCCCTGCTTCAGTGTACCCCTCTACTTTCCTATCTGTAAAATGCTCACACAATGATTGTGTGAGTTAAATCTGCTAGGACATTAGGGATATGGAACAGTGCCTCTCATACAATAAACATAATATGACAATTAAAATTTAAAGGCAAGCCTACAAAAACCTCTGTGCGCTTGTGAAGCATCTCTCTGATGCAGTCTCAGGAGCTGGTGCCTGTGATGGTGGCTCAGGGGTGGGGGTGGGGGGGTTCAGGCACCCTTAGAACCACAGTCAGTGGGGCCAGAGACTTAGCTTTGAGGACAGGGGAGTCTTGGTGTTGTAACTTCTCCCATACTCTGTGGTTTAGATCCTACATCATGGCCAATTTTATGTTACTGGTGATTTAACTGCCAGCTCACAGAATTGCTGAGTGTTGCCCAGTCGGCTCTTGCAATGTCAAATGAGCCAGCTCTAACACACAGCTGGGAATGCACGGTGGGGGAATGCAATGGGCCAGCAAGTGCTTATGAAAAACTCACTACGAGCACTGAATTGTTCTAGCAGTGGGATGAGAGATGAGAGGAAATGACAAATGAAGAAACACGTACTCTGCCTGTGCGGATATACACTCTAACGTAAGAGACAAAAGGACTCCATCACTGTAGGGTGTGAGTCCAGGTCTCCAGGACACTCTTTTACTTCAATGGATGTAGAACAGTAAGGGACATACATATTGTTAAACGGTGTATTTTATATGTGGGGTTGTAAAGAAGATGTGCAGCCTTTCAGGGTAACCAGAATTAGTGAGTCTTGGGAGGGAATGAAAACCTTGTCAGCCCAGAGGTGTCCCCAAACTGCACTGATGACCACTAGTAGGGTTGGCCAGCATAAATTCAGTGACCTCTCTGAGCCTGCATGTCTAAGGATTAGTGGAGCAAAGATAGTTTTGATAAATAATCTTTAATTTTACACATCGAAATAGAAGATTTAAAGCTGGTCTCTAACTTCTCTATTTTTTTCCCTTTTAAATCCTGAAATGCTTGTTGTAAAGGCACCATATGTAATTTTTCTGTTCTTCTTTCATCATTCTGTGCAGTAAGAGATATGGTATGTTCGTGGAAGATAGGAACAGGAGGATCAGGCATCCCAGGCCATCCTCAGCTACCTAGTGGCTATCCTCAGCTACATAGTGATGTTGAAACCAGTCTGACTTACATGATGAAATAGCTTCAATAGAAACATTATACTACAGTTTACATACAAGCATATTTTCAAGCCCTCCATTCCAGACATTTTTATCCCTCCCAAGAGGAATGAAACAAACTTACATGATTTAAAAAAAAAACCTATGAAGCAATAAATTGACCATAATGATAAGCATTTATTTACTTATTTAGATGTATGTGTGTGTGTGTGTGTGTGTGTGTGTGTGAACATGAATATGAAGGCACACAGAGACATAGAAGCCAGTAGAAGATGTTGGATGTCTTCCTGGATTGCTCTTCAACATACGTTTTGAGACAGGCTCTCTCCTGGAACCTGGAGCTCACTGCTTAAGTTAAGACTGGCTGACCAGCAAACTGGAACTCCCAGGATGCACCTGCCTCCTGCTACCCTATGCTAGATGGCAGACATCTACGATTTTACATGGGAGCTGGGAATTTGAACTCGCGTCTTCTTGCTGTCACATCAAAGGCTCCTATTAGAGGAGTCTTCTCCTTTAGCCCCGGTGCTGCTTATTTTTCCCCCTCTAAAGTCTGTTTCTGTTTTTTTGTCTTACTCTTTTTTTCTTCTCCTAAACACATATGAAAAGTCAAGCTTCTGGAACCCAACTGATGGCATTTGTGGTTTCTTTTCTGTAAGGGTTCTGGGGATTGGATTTCTTCTTCTGAGCCATATTGTTGCCTTACATCTAGTTGTTAAGCAAGCCTGTGTTGTGATTGGTTTCCTCTCTCTCTCACCAGTCACAGCCTTTTGTGGATTATCCCTATAACCAGTGTGCAGTGGTTGGCAATGGGGGAATTCTGAACAAGTCTCTCTGTGGAGCAGAAATTGATAAATCTGACTTCGTCTTCAGGTGAGTTTTGCCAAGATGATTTCTTAGAAACTGAGGAGCTATTGACTTTTAAAATGTACCAAAAGCATGTCCTATGTCAATTTTGCCTTTGTCTTTGTGATTGCACTGCTAACATCTACAGGTTGCCCAGATAGGCTTTCTTGGAGGTCGTGGGACTCATGAGTTTCTGGGCGTATTCACTTCAGTACCATAAGGATATGTAAGGAGAAACTGTGAAATCACAGGGAGGTTTGGGACTATGGAGCTTATCAGAGCCCTTAGCCTGTAGATGGTGCCAGGGTTCCCTTGGAAAGCTCCCAGGAGGAACATTTCTCTGACCTTGAAGATCTTTGCTCTCACCGACCATTGCAAGGGATTTTGCTCTTCAAGTAACACTAGGAAAGATGCTGACCTAGACATTTTACACACACACACACACACACACACACACACACACACACCATTGTTTCCCAGATTGAAAATTAATGTATATTACACATATACTCAATTCTGGTCCCTTAAAGTATTTTTGTCTGAAGCCAAGGTAGTTTATGAAAACACACACAAAGTCGTCTTGTGTGTGCTCCATGCTAATACTTGGTATAAAACATCCTACTTTAGGATATGACATAGGTGACTTTTCCAGCTGTGATGACTTAGAAGAGGGAGCAGAAGTCCACTTCTTTCTGTTCTAGGAACATCAATGTTGTTGAGATGCTTTGGTCCCTGTGGATTTGATGCTACTGCTCTATAGATTAACAAAAGCCACAAACCAGAATTCAAAAAGTAGTTCCTCCCTTACTTTCACCTCATGTTCGTAATTTATATTGGTAGTAATTACACAATGGTCAATCTGATGGTCCAGAAATGATTGAACACTCATTGACTTCTTTATAGAACAGTGTCTGTACTCTTCATGTTTCACATTGACAAGATCAGCATCGGAATCTGTTATCCATTGTTCAAATCCTCAGTGTTTGTATGTGGTTTGGGGGGTGTCAAAATGAAGATAAGTAATGGTTCATGTGATAGGCTCTTTATAGACTTAAAATCCCCCAAACATCTGTGGTGAGTATTATGCAAAAGCATTAATTTTACTTTATAGCAGCCATAGAAAGAATAATTTAGGCTTAAAGTCTAGGAAAAAGTCTCAGCAGACAGTAGATTTATAACTTTAAGACAAACCCTGGGTTTCCAGGTTCTGCTTTAGCTGACGCTAGGATTTTTCTGAACATGCTCTTTCTTCTGAAGTTGGCCATTCAAACTGGAAGCAAAATTAGGGCTACATATGGTGGATGTCATTAAAATGTATTTAGTTTTTAAGCCTGTATTTGTTTAGTTTTTGGCCTGTGCTTGCTCATCACACAGTGAGTTTGCCCATTTGTTTTCATTCCAAACATTGGGAGTTACACATTAAGTGTATAAGGAACACATATGGCCATAACTACATTATATTGTATGCTATAGCTACACTGTTACATCTGTTTTTACATAAATATCTTAATCTATTATACACACATGCATATAAAAGGATGCACACACACATTTTCCATCAAGTCTCCAGTTATATTAGAAACCACTTTTAAACCTGGCATGGTGACTTATGCATGGAGACAGAGGTAGAAGGGTCACTGAGAGTTTAAGGCCAACCTGGGCTTCAGAGTGAGCCCAGGTCAGCCTAGGCTACAAAGAAGGACCCTGTCTCAAGCAACAACGAATCACTTTGGAAACTTCAAAAGAATATGTGTCTGTGATTTGTTGCAGAAGGCCACTGATAAGGTCCTTTCTTGTGACCTCCTATCTATAATGAATTCATATTTTCTGATGTATATTTTATATCAAAGTGAGAGGGATATATTTCATTTATTCCTGTGTTTCATCTGGTGTGAAGCAGAATCTTGCAGCTCCATTCACATTGCAGATGGTGTGGGCTGTACACAGCTTTCCTGGGGGGCACTCAGTATTTACTTTCCATGCTTCTCCTTTAAAAAAAAATAGTCTAATTGAAATTTAAAGAATATCCTCATTTTAATGTGATTGGAATATACTCAAAATTAGCATCTCTCATGGCTTCCCAATGAAAAATGAATACTCCAGGTTTATGACACCAGGATGAGAACTGCTACAAAAAACACTAGAGTTTCCTTTATTTGGTGATGAAGTCATCCATATGGAGATCAGGAGATGCTAGTGTTCCTATGTAGGTCTTATTTCTGGGAGACTTTATTACCATATTTTCTACCTTGGCTTCTTTAACTCTATATGGATCATTCCATTGTAAGAATATAATCAGGTCATGACTTCAATAAAAAAAAAAAACTTGAAAATCCTTCAGAAGTATGTTGGGAAAAGATTTGTCTTGGTACTTACAAATGTCAATGAAAATACTAAAATCACTTATCAAATTGATGTTGACCAATGTTGAAACAAGTACATCCTGTACTTGTTGGTATTTTCAAGTGGAAAGCAGGTGGGTTTTGGGGTTCTTACCATAGCACTGGTTTCCTCCGAGATTATAACAGTTATCAAGTGTGTGTGTATGTGTGTGTGTCTGTGTGTGTGTGTGTATGTGTTATATGTGTGTATATGTGTGTATATGAGTGTGTATGTGTGTGTATGTGTGTGTGAGTGTATATATGTATGTGCTTTATGTACGTATGTGTTTATGTGTATGTGTGTGTGCCTGTATATGTATATGTATGTCAAATGTTTGTATATATGTGTGTATGTGTGTGTATATGTGTGTATGAGTGATGTTTATGTGTGTTTGTGTTTTTGTATATGTGTGTATGAGTGTATATGTGTGTTTATGTGTTTTTGTGTATGTGTGTATGAGTGTATATGTGTGTTTATATGTTTTTGTGTATGTGTGAATATGAGTGCGTATGTGTGTATGTGTGTCTATGTGCATGTATGTGTGTATGTGTGCATATTTGTATGTGTATGTGTGTATGAGTGTTTATGAGTGTGTGTGTGTATGAGTGTCTATGTGCATATGTGTGTATATGTGTGTATATATGTGTATGTGTGTATAACTGTATATGTATGTATGTGAGTATATGTATGTATATGTGTGTGTGTATGTGTGTATACATCTGCTTTTTACAGGTTATATTTTGAAAATATTTTTTCTTCTTTTTTTCAGGTGTAACCTCCCCCCAATCACAGGGAGTGCTAGTAAAGATGTTGGAAGCAAAACGAATCTTGTGACTGTCAATCCCAGCATCATAACACTGAAGTGAGTGCCTGCAAGTTGCACAACTCCTCAGAGCATTTTCTGATCACTTCACACAATCCTCCTGATGCTGATGCTGACACACCACATGATGTGACACATGGCTGAGCCAGCTTCTGGGGAAAACACAAAAGAGTACATCCACAAAGTTTGACAGATACACTTCATCAGAAGAGTGACTCAATTGTACTTCTAGTGTCATGAGCTATGTGTTTCTAATAAATTCTTCTAAAGAAGAATTTATTTCTTCAACTTAAAAAGTAGAGAAGTCAGTTTCTTCCATTTTCTTTCAGAGTCTCTGTGCTATTTACACCTTTTCCTTGGTGCTTAGTGTTTCTTGACAAAACTGTTTGTTTAGAAGTTTTGGAGGAAGCACTCACATAGCCCGACAAAGCATTGCTTGTTTTCATTTTGAATAGTTTGTTACTTGGAATAATTTTCATGGCCCCCTTCTGTAATGTAACTGTTACAGAATTCGTTCATAAAAGTTCCACATACACATTCTTTATTGTTTCTGTCATCATGGCTAATCATTAGTAATAGAATACAGTCTTGTGCTAGAATCTTGGAGTGGAAACAAAACAAAACAATGTAGCCATCTTCCACAAGCTAATTGTGAAAATATTTTACATGAATGAGTTCTTTCTAAGGTGTCATGTGAAGCAGAAAGGCTATCATCTATCTATCTACCTATTTCCTCTCTCTCTCTCTCTCTCTCTCTCTCTCTCTCTCTCTCTCTCTCTCTCCTTACACACACATTTCAGGCAGGCATAAGCTTTCTAAACAATGCTTCTATTTGTTGAGTAAATGTGTATAAAATTATAACTTTTAAATATGTACAGGCTATGATACTTGGTTAGGCATAAGTTAAATGTTTTAAAAATCCAAAGCAACACTAGATAACATTGCTGGGTTGTAATATAAAATAATAGAAGAAATATCTGTCTAGCAATAAGTCTTTGTAGCTCAAGAAAGAAGAATGAAGACCAGGCTCTTAATACTTACTTGATACTTGATCAATGGTTTTCACTCAGTGGTTTGATTTTTTAGTGTAATGAATATAAACAGTTGCATTTTTGACCAGATGTATATTCAACATCAAATAACCAAAATTATTGCTATTATTATTACTATACTGTGACAGGCCTTTTTTTTTCTTTTTTTAATTTGCCAGATACAAGAATTTGAAGGAGGAGAAAGCAAGGTTTCTGGAAGATATTTCCTCCTATGGAGATGCATTTCTTCTCCTGCCAGCCTTTTCCTTTCGGGCCAACACTGGCATCTCTCTTAAAGTCTACCAAACACTCAAAGAATCTAATACGAGGCAAAAGGTTCTCTTCTTCCATCCCAGGTACCTGAGACACCTCGCTCTTTTCTGGAGAACTAAAGGGGTGACTGCATTCCGCTTATCCACAGGCTTGATGATTGCAAGCATTGCGGTAGAGCTGTGTGAAAACGTGAAGCTCTATGGATTCTGGCCCTTCTCTAAGACTGTGGAAGAAACGCCTCTCAGTCACCATTACTATGACAACAAGTTACCCAAGCATGGCTTCCACCAGATGCCTAAAGAGTACAGTCAAATGCTCCAGCTCCATATGAGAGGCATCCTCAAACTGCAATTCAGCAAATGTGAAACGGCTTAACATCTCTCAGAACGAGAATGATTTCAGTGGTTGGAGTGGGTGTGTCACGGCATCTCCAAACGCTATGGAAGAAAGCTCAGAACATGGAGGATTACAAAAGAGCTCCCCAACTTGGCTAGACCAAAGCCCCCCACTAACTTCGCCATCCCCACATGTTACTCATTCTCACCTTCAATGTTCTTTCTCTGAGATATCAGACTCCAACAAGTAAAATGAGATAATTTTTCAAATTGGCGTAGAATTTGATTTGAGGCAGGGACTCACGGAATGCTTCCTTGTTCCGATCCGTGATAGCCATTCCCACCTCTATCAGAGTGGTAATGAAACTGTGCAATTGTGCCAAAGACTCTTTCTGAAGACAATGTCTGAATCATGCACCTAGTTCTTACTCACAGATCTTCTCTTATTAATAAACCCTTCCCATTATCCTCTCCCTCCTAAAAGAGTACAGAAACAAAATACCCTTGATGATTCAGGAAGAACTTTTTTACTTAGCAATGTGCCTGCTTCTGATTCAGTTCACTCGTGACGCTAACTGCTTTGAGGTGTTGGTTGGATTTGGGGCGTTTCTTCATCTTGTCTATAGTTTCCTTACCTTTATCAGTTTGTACTCAAGCTTCTGTTTTTCTCCCTCCCAATGACAGGATCCACTCAATGACATAAAGTAGTTTCAGTATCTTCTAATACGTTGACTCATCACAAAGTTACTTGTCTGATTTAAAAAAAAAATAGTGAACATCTATTTGATACCAGACCCGAGGACCATCCTCTGTTGGAGGATGGGAAGATATTTTCACTGGCAGGAAAGCCCGTGTGCACTATTAATTGATAAGATACCACAAGCATCATCACAACAGTTATGAACACAGTGCTGAGAGGATCATAGACAGGATGGTTAAATCTGATTCCAGTAGAATCAACTTCAATGTATCTATTTCAGAGAAGAGTTGATTTCACAATTAAAACTAGAAAATGAGCCAACTCTTAGCAAATTAAGTGGATTCTGGGTAAAAGAATGGAACAGGAAGAGAATGCTGTCCCCTTAATTCTGATTATTCAATGGAGTATGCTGGAAGTATATTGTGAGGTTGCCCTGAAAACTGTGTGTTGGGAGAGAGTACAGTGCATGGGCGTGTCAGCTTTTCCCACACTGGTGAAGAGGTATGAGTAATTCACAGACAATCACTTGACAAGGAAGCTTAGGACGGAAACACCTAATGCATTCCTCCAAGAAGAGATGAATGTTTTCATGAGAAAATACACTCATAAGCTCAGCATCGGTTTTGAGTAAAATTTGAGTAGATGTTAAATATGAACATTTTACACCCTTACTCGTGTCCCCGTGATACCCTTTAATGTAAGCACATTTATTAAGTTATTTGACTTACTGCATATTTATGCGTGTATATTCCTCTTCATCATGGATGTTGCCAAGAAACAGAAGTATAGGAGGTGAGGTCTATAGAAAAATATAAATTTCACTATTTAAATCTTAGCTGAGCAGGTTTGTTGTTTACCAAATGCTTTCTTGAAGAGACAGTACCCTGTGTATTCTTCATTCTGATACAGTATCACCTTGTATTTGACATTTGTAATGTTATTTCAAGTTTGCATCTCGTTCATTCTTTTATAGCAAATCAAACTTATTAGCTTTAGAAATGTGTCAGACATTCATATATAAATATTTTGCAAAGGGTAAAAGGCTTTTCTGTTAAATAAAATGAAATTTATTTATTATCTTCTTCTGGTGAACAGAGGCTCTTTTATGCTGCTGTTAATGGATTTAATTAGCTTTAAATGATCTCCTAGCAACACTGGTCATGTGTCAATCATGGTATTAGCAACGGAATCTTTTAAAAAGTAGATCAGAAAACTATTATTTTTATAGTTAACAAAAATGTTTCTCAAAATATTTTGTGCTAAATAGAAACAAAGTCTTTTTGATGGTGTTGGCAATAGGTGGCTGAAGAACAAAGGTAGGAGACTACAGCAACCTAATTTATTAAACAGTCAATGTGGAGATGTCATAAATTACTCTAGCAAAGATTATGTCTTGTCGGGAAGTTTTGAGCGTAGTGTTTTCCTACATTCGATGCTATTTTAACTCCAGAGATTTTTTTCTCTAGAATATTAAAACAAACAAACAGATAGACAGACAAACAACTCTAGTGTCAGACACATGGGTTTCAGAAATTCTAAAAATAATGTGAGGTTAGTATCATGATGACAGCCCTGTTTCAACATAAATTAGTAGAAAAAGGAATTTTTGAAATTTCTAGAAAAGCACAGACTTCTCCACATATGCAGATTATTGGTTTATTTCTTGTTTCATGTTTGTGCTGCCAAACCTGAACACATCTGAAATTTTACAACACTACCTGGATTAATATAGGCAGTAGTCAGAAGACTCCCTGAGATTTCCTGTGGGCTGTGGTTGGATCTCATGTTGCTTAGTCTGTAGAGCTACAAGTGTAGTTCAGAGTTTTTTATTATTGTTGTTGTTGTTATTATTATTATTATTATTATTATTATTATTATTATTATTTGGTCCTTTCATTGTAGTGTGACACTTCCAGCAAATCACTGCCACGGGACAAAAAGAACTGTGACTAATAGTTCACAGTTCCCAAAACTGACATGCTTCTTGTAAAAACTGGTGCTTTGTGCTGTGAACTGGATGCTTTGTATGCCACCTGCATGTCTCCGTGTTGCTCCTTTGATTCTCTTCTCAGATTGGGTCTGTAGTTGTGATTTTACCATAATTTGAGGCTTCTAGCTATTACTCAAACTCAGACCACATCTAACAGACATGGGTGGCTCATTCACATCAGGATACTTCCTACCTGAGCGAGCACAGTTTTGCCTTTGTTCCCCTGCAATCTGCCAATAATGCCCTTTATCCCCACCCCCCAAAAATCAACATGACTATACACATTCTAAAATGTGCTAGCATATGAATTAGAATAATTCAGTATATCAACTGTATATCAGTATATTTAGCTACACAAACTGTAAAATGAAACCCGGTTCCTTTTGTTTTTTAATGGTGGATACTATCTCAACCTTCCAGCAAGATCCAAACACAAAAATGACCATCAACTCCTTGTAGACTTGTAGATTAACCACATGGAATCTGATAACACTGTTAAGGACTCTTTGTGTGGCAAGCATTGTATAGTTGCTGGTAGATGGTGTGAATTTTACATTCTGCTATTAAATTCCAATTCATCTATAGCCATTAAAGATAGGTAGTCTGAATACTGGTGCTAGGTAATGGTAGACTTTCAGTTAGGAGCTTTAGGGTACCACATGCTTCTAGGCTCTCAGACAGATATCAGCTTGCTTGAATTTTGTTTTCTGTATTGTTGTTTGGCATCATTGGACAATGAAACAGAACAATAAAATTCAAAAATAATTTCTTGCCAAATTCAAGAGAAAATACACATCCATGTTCATCATCCACAGTGCTACATGCAAGAAGGACTCTGTGGACAAAGGTATAGGTGCACAAGTATAGGTGCACCTGTTTTGTTTTATTAACTGCCAGCAAAAAAAAAAAAGGCAGAACATGAATTTCATGACAGATTATTACTCTACGTGTAAATTTAAACTTAGTTAAATGTAAATCAACAGATAGCCAAAGCCATTGTTCCCTGAGGACTTTCTTTGTATGGAATATTGAATTGGGCCATGAATCAGACCCATTTTTGCTTGAACGTTTTTACTTGCTTCCATAAAAAATCTTGCTAGTTAAATGCTGTATCTTGTCATGTATTATGAATCATACCAGGAAATTCAGAAAACTTTGAGGAAATTGAAAAATGCATATAATAGATATTCTATAATCTTAGGACTGTTGCAGAAGTATAGTTTTGATGTGACATATACAATATTTTATTTATGTAATGTTATATGAAAACATTATTTTGCTATTAAACATTGAAGACATTGCGAGAATCTGTTATATCTGATAGACATAGGAAGAATCCTTCTTTATACTTAATCCCCAAATCCAGATGTGTTTAGTATTTCCTGTTTATGTGTGGTTCTGAAAGGTGGATAAAAATACCTCTTGACCTTCTATTACTCTGGGTCATTACTCTTCTAGGATCATTCTTGGTTTTATAAAAATACTCTAGTTGTGTATGACAAAGATGTCACTGCCTGTGTGATGGAGTCAAACTCTTTCACAGACAATGTTGGAACACAGATCATTACATTGGAAGAAATGTGTGCTTGCCCAGTGCTGTGTGAGATGAGAAGCCAGGCTCCAGATAGATTTAAGGATAACAAAGTAACAGTGTAAACTCCAAAGGGTGAAAAATACATAGGTTGTACTTGTGCACCTGACAAAGGTATTTACCTTAAGTAATTCAGCTAAGAAGTGGCAGGTGTGACTATATTAAAATGAAATATTTCTACTCACTAAGTGTCATCTTAATATTCATAGGTTCATGACAGACATTTCAAGGGAATGGCCATCAAAAAAATTTTTTAAAATGAACAAATATTAATAAAGATGTTTACAAAAGAAAAACCTGGGTAGCTAATAAGAACAAGAATTGCTCAAACTTATTAGAAATCTGAGAAGTGAAAATTGGAATGAATGCTGCATGTGTTGTATTAGTAAAAAAAAAATAGTAATATGATTAATTCTCGGCGTTAGGAATTCAACATTTTGAAAAGCAATTTGGAAGTGCTGAGTGAAATTAGTCTCACAGTTCTCTTATGGTCCAGCCATCTTACTTCAGGATTTATGTGCCAGAGAATTTCCAGGAGATAAATATTAAGGCAGATGATTAGACACCAAACTTTCCACCTGGGAAAGTTAATGAGTTAAATTTGCTGGATACATAATGTAGAAACTAACACAGCAGTTAGAAGCAACATCCTATAGAGAGATAGAATGATGATGATGTCTTAACATTTTAGCATACAAGAGAAATAAGCTACAACAATGCCATTCTGTTACCTTAAAGTATATACATTATTGCATACATATCAAGATCATACATCAAATACAAGAAGAGTATCCACTTGGAAGAGGGAAATGGGATGAGCTTAGGGATAAAACATATGTCATTACCTTTATCACAGCCATGGGCACATACATTCTTATCTCCCATAAAGTATTTTACTAACATTGAAGTAGAATCTGAAACACAAAACGGTAATTTATATAAGATTACATTATAGGAGCAGAGGTAGCATCCAAACTTTCATGTCTGACTGTAAGGTCATTCCCCCAGTATGGAAGCACAAAGGGAAAAGAAAATCAAAGGCCATTCTCTATAACTGACATACAACCAACCGAGTGTGTTCAAAGTGTACAACTTGCAGAGTTTTGACCTGTGCATAATCATGAAGCCATATCCACTGTCAACATACATATCCATTTCTCCCAAAATGTTTCCCCGTACTAATTTGTAATAATTTAATCCTCCTTACGGCTTGATGTTTTTACCCTACTTCCTAAGAACTCCCAATCTGCTTTTTCTATAGACTAGCTCACGTTTTTACAATATAGACTGTTTACATTTTTTAGAATTTTATATAAATGAGATCATGTTTATGTACATTCATGTGCAGTCTTGCTCTTTGTCTCAAAATGATACTCTTAAGATCAATTTGTGATTCTGTCTCAATAATCAATCCTTTTAAAATTTTTTTCTGACTATAATGTAAGTGTACCAAAATCTGGTTACACACTCACTTGTTTATACACAACTTTGTCATCTATAATTGTGGATGCTACTAATAAAATTATCACCAAGAATCACGTACACAACGTTGTGAGTATGTATTGTTATTTCTCTGGGGCAAGATCTATG